ATTCCCCAATAAAAATCTTTAAAAAAAAAAAGGAACACAGTTTTTTGTTTAAATTAGAGTATGAGGTTCTCATACATCACCTGAATTTTGTTTAATTTGTAAGAGTGAGGCCTTATGTCTTTAATAGTGAGGGAATGCCTTTTTAATAGATCAGAAAGTTAGAGACCTAACTTCCCAGAAACATTTCCTGCTATTTGCTAACTTAAAATGTACTTCCTAGTAAGTTCCCTAAAATATACACACACAACACACAGACACACACACATATATACATTAAAATAGGTTTTCTATATTCTTACAAGTTAAAATCTTCTGGGGAAGATTTTCTTTTAAAAAGTCATTTTGTCCAGTGAATTCCTCCCCTAAATCTAGAGGTTCAGATAGTAAACACTCAAGAATACAGAAATTAGAACTACAACAAACACAGAATACTTCACTGAGGACATCAGGGCCTACAATATAAGTATCAATATTGAGCAATTTCTAAAAAGTATTGGATGTGGCTCAGGAAACAACTGAGTTACTTTGCTCTCTCCAATCCCAGGGTAATGCCTACTATAACAAAAACTGGAACTGGGGTCTTTAAAGAAATAAAAATCGATTAACCTATGGTAAATAAAAAAAAAAGTGACTAACTTGCTTGTTATTGGTTCACTAGTCATCTTCAGCAGGTCTTACATTTAACAACGTCAGGTTCAAACTTTCTCTAGGTTATCTTGTGTTTATTGAATATTGACAAATTTATTCATTCCTTTAAATAACAGCTGACAAATAGATCTTAAGCACTAAAGTATGCTATAAAGGAAATTGCAACTTGGAATACAAATGGAATAAAATTAATGCTGACCAACGATGCCAGATTGCTGACCATAGAGATTAAACCTGAAACAGCAGATAAGCAGGAGAGCGACAACGCTTTATGATTCTCCTTTTCTTTTCTTTTATGTGCTCCTTTTCTTCTCCTGGGGCATATATTTTCTTCTGAAGTTCCCACACAAACTGGTGAAAACAAACAGAGGAAGGTAACATGTGTTATTAACCCCACTCTATGAACAAAGTTTGAGTCATTTATCTGGAGCTACAAACCCCTGGTGGGGACCAGAATTTTCAGACTAGCTAATGGTAAAGACCTAGAAAAATTGCCGGCCTTGCTACAATGTTGATCCTGTTGAATAACTTACTCTTGGCACCCCTACATGCACCCACAAAATATTACCCAGCTTAAACCCAGTCCACTTGGGAAAATGGCATGCCTTAATCGGGGGAAAAAAAGTGTTCCCATAAAATGTCCTCCAAATACAATTTCTCTTTTTAAAAGAACCTCTGCCATAAAACTGTGCCCCATAAAATGTGTTCCCACACGAAAAATACCCCAATAGAAGGCACTAAAACTTTTGAGGAAAAACAGTTTATGCCAAGGGGCTATCTCCTATATTCCCATCTAGGATTTGATAGTTCGTTGCTATTTTTAAAGCCATTTTCCGTTAATTTTCTTGACTTATGCATACAAGCCCACCGAGTCATTTATTTTCTCTAAGGTTCTGAGGGTTAATTAAAAATGTGGAAGAATGGTGTTGGTAGCTGGGAAAGGCTTGTAACACCTCAGGCTAAATTCTAACCAGTTTCATGCCACATATGCACCCCTGAGGATAGCCTTGCCCGAGCCAATTCCGAGAGGCTTTGGCAGGCCACTCGACTCCAAATGCTCTCACACTAACTTCTAGTCCCATATTCTTTCCTCATTCCCATCATCTCTCTTCATCAGTCCTTTCACCTGCCCCTTCATCAATTCTGTGTCACAGAGCCCTCTCTCAATTATACACATTTAATTAGGCATCTGTCCATGCTACCCCCGGGGCCTGGACGTTTCTTGAGTCTTCGTATTGAGCCTTGTGCTATAGACCAGACAAGAGCTTTGCAGTCCTCTCCCTAACAGTGCAGGGCCCGAGGCAACAGTACAAATAGAGTCCTGTGCATCTGCCTAAACATCTAAAGGCCATAAATCAATTTAACAAGCTGTTAAATGTTTTATCCTTGTACCTTAACATATATACATTCATGATTTTGTTTAAACGTGCAAAGCCACAGTTCACACCAAATAGGGATAAAATATTCAAAATTGACATTGTTTTCTGCCACAATTCATAATTCTCTTTGGAGCTTGGCATGGGGTGAAAAGAGGAACGGGGAGAGGGTTCTCCCTAGCTGGCTGACTCACCCTCACCTAATCCCTCAGACCTCCCCTTGCGTTCACTCAGGGCCACCACAGGTGAGGCACCCATTTTCTCTTCCTTTTCGAGATGAGGGTGGACGTTCACTCATGGCCTGCACTGGGTCTTGCCCTTCCCTCCTCCACTGTCCAGGTGCCTCATGAAGCACCTGAGTGTGTTGTCTCTGAGGTTTCTCCTCAGC